CGACGCACCACCTACTGAGGCGGCCCCAGCGGCCTCCGATCGGGTTCCCAGCCACGCAGGCGCACTGGCCATGAGGGCAGGTGGGTGTGAGGGACCTGGGCAAGGCTCGCAGGGCTGGACGGGGAACAGATAGGACCCCGGGTGCTGACTGTGTAGGGCCAGGCAGCCCCCTGAGGGGTGAGTACATGGAAGGCAGGACCCAGTGGTCACACCTAGGGGCTCCCAGGTGCCGGCGCAGGGCCCTCGACCAGCAGCCCTTGGGGTCCAGGCTCACTTTGTTGTTTGTTGAGAAAGTGAGATTTGGGGGGAGCGGTAGACCACGCCCACACCTCAAGCCAAACTCCGCTCCTCCTACACGCAGGTTTATTCCAGACTTCCAGGGGAGCAGAAGGGAGCTGTCCCCAGACACTCAGGGTGGCGAAGGGCATGGTGGGTGCAGTCAGGGAGGGAGGGCCTGGCCCCACCCTCTGATTAAAGTCTCCGAAGGGTGGGTTTCTAGGTCCTTGAGCCCAGCTGTGGGCACCGGGCTCTCCTGGGGTCAGCAGGCCGGGTGCCGGGTGCCGACGGCTTGTAACCTGGGGCTTGGCTTCACCACAGATCTGCTTTGGAATGACACGGTTCCCACCCGCCACCTCCCCCGAGAAACTGATCAGGTGACGATCCCCTGCTGGGGACCCCCCAGCCTGAGATAGTCCTGTTTGTGAAATAAATATGAACCTTGACAGCCTCCGTCCGGTTCCCTGCGCGCCGCCGCTCCGAGCTCAGACGCTGGTTTCCGGGGTGTGAGCCACCTCCCCTTTCTTCTCAGGCTCCGCCTTCAGGAAGTGCTCCACCTCCCTTGAGTCCACCCCGTCCCTGTTGTCCCTGTCGTCTGCAGGGGGCTTGGGGCTCTCGCCCTCCTTGGTGGCCCCCGCAGGCCTCCTCCCGATGCAGAAGAAGTTGCCGAGCAGCAGCACCAGGGAGGCGGCCAGCACCTCGGCCCCGGCCAGGACGAACACGTACTGGTAGACATGCGTGGCGTCCAGGAGGCGGCCTGCGGAGGGGACAGTGTCAGCATGGCCGGGCCCCCACCCCGGCCTCCCCTGCCTT